GGGGGGGGGGAGAGAGAGAGAGAGAGAGAGAGAGAGAGAGAGAGAGAGAGAGAGAGAGAGATTTTAAAAAGAACTTGGACTTGGGAGATGGTACAGTGGACCAAGTGCTTGCTTTGCAAGCATGAGGCCCTGAGCTTGGCCTCCAGAATCCTCATAAAAAGCCAGGCATGGTCATATCTGCACCTGCAATCCCAGTGTTGGGAGCAGGGAAAAATAGAAGGATTGCTGGGGCTGCTGGCCTAGCTCAGTCTCTGTGAGAGAACCCGTCTCAAAGGAATAAGGCGGAGTAATGGAGCAAGACACCCAGTGTCTTTCTCTGGTTTCTGCATGTACCCAAAAGTGTGGGTACACATACACACATGTGTACATGCACCCAAGAGTGCACACAACACACACACAGACACACACACACAAAGCCTGTACCCCTTCCAAATCATCAAGGTCTTAAAAGATGAAGAAAGACTGAGAAACAGTCTGACAAGGAGCCAGGATAGCTAACATACATTGTGTACATGATACACACACACACTGCTGGCAGGCCTCCTCGCTCTCTCTCTCTTGCAGCCCTTTTCCCTCTGCAGCTCCAAGAACGCCTCACTCCATTCAGAAGCTGAGCTGTTCCGAAGTGTGTGATGTATATTGTATCGCTAAATTGTTGTGTGTTGTTTAAGCTTGTAGAAAGTGGAAACTGGAGCCAGGTGGTGGTAGCCTGCACCTTTAACCCCAGCGCTCAGGAGGCAGAGGCAGGCAGATTCTGTGAGTTCGAGGCCAGCCTGGTCTACAAAAACTAGTTCCAGGACAGGCTCCAAAACTACAGCGAAACCCAGTCTCGAAAAAACAACAACAACAAAAAAGCAAGTTCCAGGACAGGCTCCAAAGCTACAAAAGAAACCCTGTCTCGAAAAACAAAACAAAACAAAACAAAACAAAACAAAAATGGAACCTGGGAGTCAGGGAAAGTTCTTTTGTACCAGACTCCAGTATGTTTATTTTAAATATTCTCCAAAATGTCTCCTGTGGCAGACTTGCCCCCTAGCTCTGCAACAGGAGAGAGATAACTAAAACAGTCCAAGAATAAAAACACTGTGTCCTTGAGAACAGCCAGAAGGTCAACTGTTTCCAACTGATATTACTATTATTTAATCCTAGGACGTACAAATGTCTGCAGTGGTGTGGGGGTCAAGGTCATCACAAGGGAGCCCACGGAAACAACTAACCTGGGCTCATAGGAGCTCACAGACTCTGGACCGACAGCTGGGGAGCCTGCATGGGACCGATGTGTGTGTCCTCTGCATGTGTGTGACAGTTGTGTAGCTTGGTCTGCTTGTGTGACTCCTAGCAGTGGGATCAGGGTCTGTCCCTAACACTTGGGCTGGCTTTGGGAACCTATTCCACATTCTGGGTTGCTTCTCCCAACCTTAATGCAAGGGGAGGCGCTAGTTCTACCTCCACATGATATGCTGTGCTTTGCTGACACCCATGGGAGGCCTGCCCTTTTCTGAACAGAAACACAGAAGTGGATGAGGGGGAGGGGGCAAAGGAAAGGGAGGGGGAGGAAATGGGAGGAGAAGAGGGAAGGGAAACTGCAATAAGGATGTAAAATAAATGAAAAAAATTTAATCAGTAAAAAGAAAAAAAAAAAAGGGAAAAAGATGTCTGCAGTGAGGATGAAGGCACCGGGAAGGAAGCTCAGCTGGGCCCCGCTGGCTGCTTCAGCTTGCCCTGCGGTTTCTACAGCAAACTGGCTCGAAGTTATCTATCTGCTCCTCTATTCAATGAGAGGGTCTCCTCCACCATGGCTCCCCGCATTAGGAACACCACACAGTCATCTAAACAGGCTGCCCCAGCTGATTTCTGCGGGATGATTCTAACTCTCCCATTGGATGGTATTGCCTTCTGTGCGCGCTCTCAGCCCCGCTGAGAGCATCTCTGCTGGATGACTTGATGTGCTGCTAGCTACCACTTCTTTCCGTCTGTGACTATTTTTTACTTTTGCATGCTCCATATTTAATAAACTCATTTATAAACTGTAGATCCTTCTCTGAGTAACACAGAACAGGGGGCCAGGCACTGCCCACCTCCCCCTGAGGCAACTAGGGTTCAGCTTCTGTCCCAGTGCTCATTTCAAGTCTTCCCACTTGCGCCCCATAGTTGGCCCCTTGGTGCTCTTAGGGGTTCTGCTCCAGACCTCCTCTTCCAGGAGACATTCCAACGTGACTTTATGTTGGACCACCACACCATTCTGCTTTCCTCATTGAATGCCTTTTCATTTCCCACAGATGGCTAGAAATTCTGAGATTAGGAACGAGGCCTCGCTCTGACGTGCCACAGCATCTAACCTTTGCATACTACAGAAAGGGTATGTGTGCGAGCTTCCTGAATGATGCCCTGCCAGCCTTCACCACCAACTGAGGCTCCTCCTCCTCCTCTTGGACATCGTCCTTGCTGGGTCACTCTGGATGTCTTCATAGGACCCCCAGTTCTCCAGTTTCCAATCCCAAAGGCAGGCCTGTGGGGACCCGTCTCCACTCCTCCCGTGGCTCTGCAGGGACTGAGAGCTCCTGGCAGCTCTCGCCTGGCCAGAGGCATGTCTAGAATTCCAAGACTCTCTCCGGAATGTGCAGCCTGTCTGGAGAAGGCTTAGGCTGCGGCACAGGTGCAGAGGCAGCACAATAGCAGCGCTGAGCTAGGACAGCTGCTAACATTCTGGCTGGAGCCTGGCTGTCATTACCAGCTGTCTGTCCTGAAAGCATTGCTACCAACACCTCTACTTCCTTGCAAACCCCCAGTTACCCCTCCCCAGTCACTGTTCTGGCTGCAGCTCCCACCTGGGCACCCCCACTAGATCTCAGGCCTTCATTTCCTGTCAGGAAGAAAGACCAGATGGGTGACTGGAGGCCAGTCTCAGAGGGCCAAAGGAGCTAGACAGTAGGTCCACTTGACCAAGTCTGTCAGAGTCCTTGGCTGGCTGCAAGGTGGCTAAGCTCTCTTATAGATTTGCCAGATGCCCTTGGCTCTCTGGGTCATTGGGTCCTCATCTGTAAAATGAATGCTAGATTGTGGAGTAAACTACATGCTCGTCAGAGGCCAGGAACCAATATTCCTGGTGGGAAATATAAGGCAGTGGGAAGTTAGTTAGCGCCACAAGTCTGCTGGGCCTCACGAGATTTAGCTTCGTTCCAACCAGGATGGAGAGGTTGCTGTGCCAGGAAGCATCCAGTGCTCACTGAACTAACTGCTCCCCGTGAGGATAGCTGTTGGCTGCCATGCTGACTGACCCAGGCAGCTCACCCCCATCCCAGAGCCTGGCTAGACAGGGAAAGTGGGAATGGGCGGCATTTAGTGAAGATCAGTGTCACCGGAGCTTGTCAGAACACAGATTCTGTGGCTGCTGCAGAGCCCAGTCACTGGGAAGGCACAGAGCGAGTGGTCGTTGACCTGATGACTTCTGGCAGAAGGTGGCTTGAACAGTCAGAACACAGGTTTTGCAGCTAGCGTTCCATGGATGGGGGTCATCGGGAAGAAGGGAACCCTGAGAAAAGACTCTGGCCCCAGGAAAATCAGAGCAAGATACCAGCCTCTGGGGAGCAAGGATTTATTTGCACCCCCCGGGACAAGAATGGGGAGAGAGTCTATGGGTGGGGTCGGGGGGGGGGACACCGTTAAAGGACACAACCGGGTTCAGAGTCCAGAGAACCCAGTTGCACCCGTACCACAGGATCTGTCTGGAGATGGAGCACAGGTGTGGGCAACTCTGAACAAAGCCAGTGTCTACTCCACACCCTTCATGAATTCCAGGAACTCTGTGGAAAGAGGACCACGTGTGGGTCAGAGGTAAGGCCCGGGCAGAAGGTGGACAGCAGCAGATTGGTCCTCCCACCCACTCACCGTCATAGTCAATGCGGCCATCATTGTTCTTGTCACCATCCTTCATGAGCTCTTCGATGTCGTCCTCTGTGATGGTCTCGCCCGTAGCCTGCAGCATCATCTTCAGTTCGTCCAAGTCAATGTAGCCGTCAGCATTCCTACAGGGAGGGCAGGGGAACCTCAGAGCTCAGGAGAAGGTGGAGAAGGCAGGACCCCACCCGACAACCCCAGGAGACAGGGCAGGGACACTACACAGGATGGGAGATAGACTACGTGGTATCTAGCATGGGATCTGAAACTCCTCCTTCCTTTCTTCCTTTTTTTCTTTCCTCTTCACCCACCCCTTGTTTTGTTTCCTCAAGACAAGGTTTCTCTACGGCTCTGTGTAGCTTTGGCTGTCCTGGAACTCACTCTGTAGACCAGGCTGGCCTTGAACTCAGAGATCCACCTGCCTCTGCCTCCTGAGTGCTGGGATTGGAGGTGTGCGCCACCACCGCCCGGCTGAGACTACCCCTTTCCACTCTCTACTTGAGTCAGGGACAGAAGCCAAGCACATTCTCACTTGTCAAACATGCGGAAGAGATCCGACAGCTCCTCCTCAGACTTCCCTTTGCTGTCATCCTTCATGCACCGAACCATCATGACAAGGAACTCATCAAAGTCCACTGTGCCGCTGCCTGTGGGTAAGACAGCAGGACCGGAGAGAGGACACGGTTAGCACCAGGCAGTGCCCTCCCATGCCAACACGATAGGGCTAGAGTGTTCATTTGCCCTCTCTTCTTATTTGAGGCAGAAGCTTGCTCTATAGTCCAAGCTGGCCTGGAGCTCCCTATGTGACCCAGTCAGACTGACTTCAAACTCTCACAGCCTTTTTGGGATTACGGGCATGAGCTACCTGCCGAGTTTCTGGGTGAGATGGTTAAGATTTGGAGGCCTGTGTGTGAAGACTGGAGTGGGTGAAGGGGCTTACCATCCTCGTCCACCTCATCAATCATCTCCTGCAGCTCCTCGGGTGTGGGGTTCTGGCCCAGCATCCTCATCACCTTGCCCAGCTCCTTGGTGCTGATACAGCCATCCTCCGCACCCAGGACAAAGATATCAAAGGCGGCCTTGAACTCTGTGTCCAACGGCAGGGTGAAGAAATAGGATCAGCAGCCAGGACACTAGAAATCCAGTCCCAGGGCCACCAGCAAACTGCCCACTTCCCTCCAAGAGTTCTTTGAAGTCACAGCAAAGAGAACCCACAGACTATGGCCTCTAATCCGGGGTTCTTTCCTGGAAAGGCATCCCCACAGCCCCTCCACCTACCCCACTGTCTCTTCAGTGGGAAACACTTACCATTCTTCTGTTCTTCTGTCAACTGCTCTACCTAGAGAGGAAAAGGCAATTCAGGACCCAGACTCAGGCCTCAGGGGAGACTGCTGGAGAGACTGACCCATTCCAGGTGGGAAGGAGGCGCACACTCCCAGGTTACAGAGGAAGTCCTCCGTCCTCCTTTCCTGGGCCCCAAACCCAAAGGTGACCCAGCTGATATTCCAGAGGCTAGGCTAGAGGCCAAAATGACTGGTGGGCACCGCTTCCAGGAGCAAGGTGTCCTGAGTAACAATACCCATTGACCATTCCATGTCCTTTAGATCACCCTAATGAAACCTAAGCTGCATGGCCTTAGTTAGAGACAGCTGTCCCTCAGGTTGAGACAATAAAACTGATGTGAGGGTGAGGGAAGCCACCCACTGTAACCTGACCAGGGTGGCTGGCCACTCGGCTATTTTTAGAGGACAAAGTTAAACCTGGTGATTGTTCTGGGGACTTTGGTATGCGGGGGTGGGGGAGGTGGGGCAGTGTTATCTGCCCCCCTGGCCTACTGGTGCTGCCTCAGGAGCCAAAATTAGTCCCCAGCCCCGCCAGGCCTTGTATGGGCACTGGGTGGAGGGATACCCCCCCACTCCAGCTCCATGGACTCCTACAAGTTAGGCAAGGATACCGTAGGAACCAGCTGCAGCCCTTCCCAGCTCACAAGAGGGGCCGTATTTTGGGGGCTGGGGGAGAATTCCCTGCGAACAGCTGTTTGCTAGGATTTTCTTGTCCTAGCAAACAAGGTAGAGGTTATAGCAAAAGCCCTTCAGGGTCCTGCGGAGATTGCAGCGTCGTGGGGTGACATCCTCTAGCCCTGACTCTTACCACCCTCCATGTCTACTACCTAAAGCTCTGAGCCTGCCAGACCTTACAATAAGAACAAGGCTTCAGCTTTCGTCCCTCTCCTACCTCTCCCCAGGCCTGGACCTTCTAAGCACCTTCTCCATCCCAGAATTCACACTCTGCAGCCTTCCTCATAGTTGCCTCCCACCTCCTAAAGCTTCTTCAGCCAGCTAAGGGCCTGGAGCAGGGTGGCAGAACCGAGAGAGACAAGGACTCAGAGAGACAATGAGGAAGGAACAGAGATGGAAAGACCTTGAGGAAAATAACAAAAGACCTAAAGAATAGAAACACAGATACAGAAGTGGAGCCAAGACGGTGACAGACTAGACATTATAAACAGAGGGGGACACTGGATGCTAGAAGTTAAGACCACACCCTCTAGCCACCCTGAGAACCCTCTCCAGACCCGGAGACTCCTTCCTTTTCTGCACTATCTAAATGTCAGCCCCACTATTCCTTTGAGGGGCTTAGCTACGGATGTATGGGGCACCCGTCTCCCACTCTGAGCTGAGTGAACCCTCGATAGGTCTACCCACCCCAACCCTTTTAAGACTTATCTCGCACTCACCGCAGCTTTGTAGATATCATCCATGCTGAAGGCAGTTCACAGGACAGGCTACTGGGGTTGCCAGCCTGCCAGCCCTCAGCCTGGGCTTAAATAGCCCTGCCTCCCTCCACCTCCTGCTGCATTCCCAGCCCAGCCCACCACTGCCTGTAATATCCTCCACCCCCTCCCCTGGTCCCTGTAATCTCAGGCTGGCCAGAGTCCCTGCATCCTCTGCCTGGGCCAGGATCTGTGAAGGACCGCAAGGACCAGGTCTCTGGCCATCTGTTCCACAGTGAATTCTCAAGAAAAAAAAACTAACTTATTATGTTTATTTGTGTGTGCATGGAGGTCAGAGGATATCTTGTAGGAGGCATCCATTTCCCCCTACTACCTAGATACCCAGGACTGAACTCAGATCTCAGGCTTGACAGCAAGCACCTAAAATGGTGTGTGTGTGTGTGTGTACATGCCAGCTCAATAGCCCCAGGAAAAGTTTCTTGAGTGAATGAAACCGTGGAATCCAGGCCCAGATAGGAAATTAGAAGTAGTGGGCTCCAGGCCAGTCAGGACTTTAAGAACAGTTCAGTCTTCTACACAACCAGAGAGGTGAGTGGTAACACCCTCATTTTCCAGGTAAGGAAGCAAGAAGCTTCCAAGTGGACAGTGACTGGCCTCAGGTTAGGCTGACTAGAAAACCCCACCTTATTTACAGCTCTCGGGAGTGGGTGACATGCACCAGAGACTGGCAGTGTAAGCCCTGCCTAGAAAAGCCTACGTGAGGTTCAGAGCATAACATGAACTGGTAGGGGAGAGTCGGCCAGATCCGCTGTGCCCCACCTTCTGCCAGTATTCACTTTGGACCTCAGGCTGCTGTGTTCTGTGATTTAACAAGTATTCCTAAAGAACCCTATCGCTATCAGGATTCTCTTTCCTCTTCCTCTAGTTGGGTCACCTCTTCTCCAGCTCAGTCTTCCCCTTGGCTAATGAGGCTTTCTCATTCAATCACTGAAGCTTTGTGTTCAGGGCCAGTCTGTGTCCCCCTCAATTTGAGCTCTTGCAGGATGTCATCTGGGGAACACAGATTCCCCCCCACACACACACACACACAACACCTGCACCTCTGCTTCATATACATTCCCTCTGAACGCACCAGTTTGCAGCCTAACACACAACGGGGATGTGCTGAGCAATGCAGAATCACCTCATTCAATTCTCCATCACTACATGAAGCAACAGACCCCGAGGATCAGAGAGTCCAGCTCTAAGTCCAGTTCTTATCGTCTTCATCTTGCTCTTGCTACACAGGGAATGAGCCTAAAACAGCGAGGCGAGACCTTATTAATGTTTCCTCTGGAAACGTAGGCCAGGCGAAGCAGACTGACTTCAGAGAGTTCAAAAGGCCTCTGGCCTCTGTTGCTGAGGGCGCAACCGATAATAACCACAACTGCCAGAGAAGAAGCCACACTGGTATAGAAAAGGCCACGGGTTAGCCCACGGGAGCTACGCATGCGTGCCGTTGGCCGGCCCGTCAATCACGGGCGAGGGGCGGGGCGAGGGCGCGTGGAGGCAGTGGGGGCCAAGATGGCGGCGCGGGAGCGGGCGGGGGGCGGCGGGGGCCGGGGGCCGGCGGGACGCTGACCCCGCCCCCTGCTGCTGCCAGTCTGCGCCGGGCGTCGGCAGCGGCGGAGCCCGCAACATGGCGGCGGCGGCGCTCAGCTTCGGGCCCGAGCGGGAGGCCGAGCCGGCCAAGGAGGCGCGCGTCGTGGGTTCCGAGCTTGTGGACACGTACACGGTGTGCTGGGGGATGCGGGCACCCAAAGCGTGCATAGCGCCTGGAACCCGGAGTCCAAGTTGGGGGCTTGAGGAGGGGGTCAGGGTCGCACGTCCGTGAGAGGGGGGAAGGGTCTGCAGTAGCGACGAGGGAGCCCTAGAAAAGGGGTGTTGAGGGGAAGGGCTGGGTCGCATAGGTCCCGGAGGAGGTTCTAGGGCGGGGCGCGTGGAGGGGGTTGGGGGGAAGGAGCCGTGCTGGAGGAATCCGAGGGTAAAGGAGGACCTGGGGAGGAAGGGGTGTGCAGATGAGATGGAGTCCCTCTAGATCCTCCAGGCAAGGAGGGATGCCAGCCTAAGAGATCTTGATTAGGGGAGTCTGGGAGGAAGGGGACTCGAGAAGGGTGGTCTCATAGATGGAACCGGAGGAAAGAGCCAGGGATCTTCAGAGGCGGTGAAGGAGAGGGGGCGGATCTTGATCTGCACCCCCCACCCCCACCCAAGCCTGTCGCAGTCCAGATCAGCCCTGCGAAGTGAGGAAGGGGTATGGGAAAATGGGTCCTGGAAGTCTGCGGGGGAAAGAATTGGACCCTAGTGGTTGGGAAAGGAGAAGTTACCTCAGGGCTGAAGTACAGGACCTACAAACCGTAGGGGACTTCATGGCTTAGGGAAGAGAGACAGTGAGTCTTCTACATATCTTTGTAGGCTACAAGGGAGGCCCAACAAAAAAGGAAAGTAGTTTTGGTGATGGTGTTAGAAGCCCTCTTGGTCTGGATAGGTTTGGATGCCAGGCTGCCAGATGTGAACGTGTTCTGTGGTGGGGGCTTATAAAGCATCTCCCCGTCTCCTTGTCCTTTGTTCCCAGGAGGGTGGACAGTGGTAAGGGCCTTGGCCCTGCCTATGCCTCACCCTATTGGCTCCCATGCTAATACCGCATCCTGAGGGCTATTCCTCTAGCTCTTCTTTCACCAGCAAGGAAGGGGGACTGTGGAATGCTGGCTGGTGGCTCCTTCTGGAGCAACAGGCGGGTGTTGGAGAAATGGCTGCCTCTGGGGGTCAGAGGAATCAGTCGAGTTGACTGATCCCAGTCGCCGTTGCCTGCTACGCAGGCAGAGGTGGGAAGCTAGGACCATGGAGCTGGCTCCTCTAGTTAAGGGATGAGGTCACTCAGCTATGACTAGGTAGAGGTTCATTCCCCCCAAAAGCTCTTCCTTTTCGGGGCTTTGTCCTTCCTCTAAGTGACAGGGAGCAGGGTGGTGATCATCATTTGTCCCTGGGTGTGCTGCGTTGGATGTTAGTAACATACCTGTCTTTTGTGTGGCGTTGGGGCCTGCACAGTCATTTCATACTTAATGCTTTACTTGATCCTTAAGCCTACCAGGTTTTAATATGGAGGAATTGAGGCCCAGAGAGAATTTAGGCTCCCAGTCACTTACATAAGCTGCACATAAGCCACACCCAGGAAATGGGATAGCCAGATTTTTGAACCCAGGTTTTCTTAACCACCAAAACCGTATTGTCTTCTGATTGGACCACTGCTGCCCCTGCGAGTGTGGTGGTGCCTCCAGCTCCTGGTTCGGCAGCCGAATTCAAAACCACAGCCAGAGGGAAATGTTGGCCGAAGACCTGCTTCTAGGATGGAGTCAGGGTACCTGGAAAGGTGCATAGCAGAGACACCGGTCCTGCCAAACCCAGCTCTGCTCTGTGACCCTTACAAGGGACAGCCTGCCTACCACTCAGGTTGAGGCAGGATGTAAAAATCTCAGTCGGTGTTTAAACCAGACCCATTTTCATTCCTTGCTGATTTAATCGAAGCACAGCTTGACCCCAGACCTCACAGGGCTGTGGGGGAGGCTAGGAAGTCTGGGCCACCACTGCTCAGTACGGGTCAGGTGCACACTGGATGTACAAGGAGCCTGACTCTGGGTTTTTGGGGAGTGGGGTCTGAATACTTTGCAGCTATTGTGGGGGCAGGGTTCCCTAGTCACAAGGAATCATTTTTTCCCTTTAGGTTTATATCATACAGGTTACTGATGGCAACCATGAGTGGACAATCAAGCACCGCTATAGTGACTTCCATGACCTGCATGAAAAGGTAATCTTAGAGCTGGAACCTGTATCTCGGGGCTTAGGGGCTTGAGGACCAAGTCTCCATTGTGCTACACACTAGTTTTAGGGTAAAACTGCCTCCACATCTATTGTTTGCTAATCTTTACAAATTTTATTTATAACTGGTCATAGTGGTGCATGCCTTTAATTCCAGCACTTGAGAGGCAGAGGCAGGAGAATCTCTGTGAGTTTGAGGACAGCCAGGGCTACACAGAGAAACCCTGTCTTATAAAATAATAAAAAAAATTTAAATATATATATAATTTATGTATTTATTTTAGGTGGGAGGGGGTGCACACGTGCCACAGCACATGTGTAGAGGTCAGAGGGCAGCCTGTGAGCAGTCATTCTCCTTCCGCCACATCGGCTCCACGGCTTGAACTCAGCTCATCAGATTCAACAACAGGCACATTCACCAGATGAGCCCTCTCTCTCATGGGCTTTATAACAGACCTGTTCTTAATACATCTGACGAAAGAACTGGTTGGGCCTAGCAGTCCAACCCTAGCATGAGACTGTCTAGATTAGTGTGTTTCAATTTTGATTTTAAAATTGCTGTATTCCTGAAATACAACACAGACTCCTTTGGTTTTTGAACTTCAGGGGGCCATAAGCACTACTTTTCCCAATTTCCCCAAAGACCAAAGATGGACTTTCTCACTTGGAATTGTATTGGTTTTTCCAGTACCACTTGGATTGGAAGAGGCCACATTCCAGGTGCCCTAGCTGGGAGCACTCACCCTGGCACTGCTGCCAAGAGTGACTGTGGAAGATACGATCCCTGCCAGCCTGGGGCTTACATCCATACAGAGCTACTTGGTCTGTGGTTGATGTGCTTGTGTTTTCTTGCAGCTTGTTGCAGAGAAGAAAATTGACAGAACTCTCCTTCCACCCAAAAAGATAATTGGAAAGAACTCACGAAGCTTGGTAGAGAAGAGGGAGAAGGACCTGGAGGTGTACCTCCAGACCCTCCTGGCCACCTTCCCTGATGTGGCTCCCAGAGTTCTGGCCCACTTCTTGCATTTCCACTTCTATGTAAGTTCCCTTTGGGTTCTCAACTTTGAGGAGAAACAGACTGGACCCTGGCTCTGAGGTTAGAACGTAGAAGAGCAGAGTCAGGTAGAGCAGGTCATGTTTGTGGGTGGGTTTGTGTAGATCAGACTGGCCACTTATTTTCTTCTACTACAAGGCATTTTGTTTTGCAAAAACATCTCTTGATTTTTAAGGTAGATTTCCCTCCTAATGGGTGAGGATGGACAGGAAAGAAGTGAAACCTGGTCTAGATACACTGTTGGAGTTGGGCTGCGGCTCAGCACCAATGAGGGAATTAGTCATTCTTCTTGGATTTTAAGGTAATTTTATCTTTAGTGTTGTACATTTGTGTGGGGTGTGGACATGTCAGTGTAAGCACCGTGTAAACCGGAGAGGATGTTGGGTCCCTTGGAGCTCGAGTTACAGGAGGTTATGAGTCACCCAGGGAAGCGAATCTGGGTCCTCTGTACGTGCAGTTTGCTCTTTTAACTGCTGAACCATCCTTCCAGCCTGGAATTAGTCATTTTTAATTAATGAATTGCCATCATAGGGCCTAGGGCCGATGGCTCCACTGCTGGCTTCATGGAGCAGCTCTACTCTCCCTCTGCATAGATCATGAAATGCTACCGCTGACAGAATAAGTCCTGCTGAGCAGAGGGTTCATCAGTATGTGGCTGCCCAGAACTGTATAGCAAGACTGTGCCTCAAGAACAATAAAAAGTAAAAAATAATTAAGCTGTCAGACCTTAAGAAGTGTGAAGCCAAAATATCAAAAACCAGGAGCAGTTTTATTGTAAGGAAAGCTAAGGCAACTGTAAAAGGATATGTGAACAAAGGTAGTTATTGCAAGATTCGGAGCAAGATACGGAAGACAACACAAAGAATGGTGGAAAGAAGTTTCTTTAAAAAAAAATCAAGTCACACCAGGTATGATGGCACACACCTGCAGTTCAGCACTTTCCAGACTGTAGGTCTTGAAAATTCTCCATGGTGACACAGGCCTTTATCCCAGCAGCTAGAAGCAGGCAAATCTCTTGAGTTTGAATTACCAGGGCTATATGATGAAACTCCTGTCCCCAAACAGACAAACAAAACAAAAAAAAAAAGTGGTCAGCCTTATAACTGGACCTTATATTGCTGGTGTAACTGTGGACCTTCTGCCATAGAAAATGCATGTATGAGAGGAACAAGTCCTTGCTATTCAGGCACATGCCTTTAATCTTAGCACTTGAGAGGCAGCAGCAGGTGGGTCTTTGTGAGTTCAAGGCCAGCCTGGTCTAGACAGCAAGCTTCAAGCCAGCCAAGGCTAAGTAGTGAGAGTCTGTCTCAACACCCCTCCTCGCTAAACTACCCCCCCCCACACACCAAAACAACCCAGTATATAGATTAGGGTTCTAGTTTTATAAGAGAAAGGATCACATTGATGTAGTTGTCTGTGAAGAACTATATGGGATAGTCTCTTTGAGAAGTTTTCTGATAACATCTACTTTTTAATTCTTTTTCCCTTAAATGATGAAGATGCCCTTGGCTTATAGGAAGTACCTTCTTTAAAATAAATCTTTCTTCTGAAACAACAGAGTAAGACTCCTGAATCTTTTTTGGAATACTAAATAGAGCCTGGAGATTTGGAGTTTGGTGATGTCACAGGCTGGAAGGGACCAGTTAGAATGTGTCTGTATACCATCTCCTGTTGTGAATGTCTTTTTACATTTCCTTGAGTTAAAAAAAAAATTCTCATTCCCTATGTGAGTCTGTCAGATAAACTTCGCAAAACTTCCATTTTCCGCTGAAGAATGAAACCCGATAAACATCTCTTTGAAAGTATAATTTGTTGCTTAAGACTGTCTTTGGGGAGTTTTTCCTCGCTACTGCAGGTTTGCCCAACTCTGAGCCATGAAAGGCCTAGAATACTCTTTTTAGTTAGACTTACCTGCCATAGTTCTGGGGCAAGCCTAACTCTGTGATTCTGGTTTGAAGCATGGCCTCAGAACTTTTCGGACATATTTGGCATTATTGACATAAAATATATACATAGGTTAAATAAATGTGAGAATTTTAAAAGTAATTAACTTGTCTTTAGATTAAGATGGGTTCTCAGCCATGGTGAGGGGCACTACTTAGCAGCATCCCTGGCCTCTATCCAGTCTGACGAGCACTGCCCTTCCCAGTCCCATCCACTCCAATTCTGTTCTCTAGAGGAGACAATACCCATCTTCTCATGGTGGGGAGGGGGTAAAACGACCCAGCTGAGACCCTCTGGACTAGGTCTTCCTTTCAGTTTAATTTTGAACCAACACAGTCTTAAGAGCACTGTCAATTTTTTCTGCAGGCGGGAGCTCTCCAGGGAATCTTTGTCTTAGCCAGTATCTACCTAGGGATTGTTGCAGATACATCTGTCCTGCGTGCTGACATTGGATGAAGTGGGGGTACCCAGGGAAGCCTACTTGGTTATGGTTTGGACTACTTACATTTTATTTTGTTGAGTTGAGACAGGCTTTGACTAAATAGACAGAGTTGGCATAAGATTCCCCCCCACCCCCCAGCCTACGGTGACCTTGAACTTGCAGTTATACTCTTCCTCCTGAGTACTGCAATTGCAGCAGATACCCACACACCTGGTTTTGTTGTGGTTGTTGCTGTTCTTTTCTGTTTGTTTGGGGAGAAATACCTTTAGATTGAGATGTAACTCACTCACTATAAAGTTCACTGTAAGTATATCATTCAGTAGTTTTCAGCCGATGCACAAAGGTGTGCAGTGAGCACTGCTGCGTTGATTCCAGCACGTCATCACCCATAACCCAGCCCTGTGTTTAGGGCAGTCACTGCCTGTTCCCTCCTTTCCCTAGCCCTCAGTACTCATGGCCTTGCTTTCTGTCTCTTTGAGTTTGCTTGTTCTCAATGTTTTGCATAACTGGTTTATATAACATATAGCAATTTCATTTATTTCTCGGATCCATTCATGTAGCATTAATCTTTTAGGCCTTTTATGACTAAAATATTCTTTGGATATACATTCAGAAATCCCTTTCTAATCTGATTTTGAATTCCATGGTTTGAAAATGTTAAATGGAAAACTCCAGAAGTAAACAGTCCGTGAGTTTTAGACGTACCATTCTGAGTAGTATGGAGAGCTCTTTCACAGGATCAGCTTTGTCTGGTGAATCACACTGTACATACATCACTTTGTAGGCCACCATCTCAGTTTGTCAGATCAAGTGTTACAGTACTAGGTCCAGGTAAATCTGATTTTATGTGGTAATAAATAGCCCAAAGCACCTGAGTCATGATGCTGGCAATTCAGATATGCCAGAATGTAGCCATGAAGTGCTTCCTGTAAGTGGAAAGGTAAAAGGAGAAGATACGTTGAGAGACCATATTACATAATTTTTATTACAACATTTTTGTTTGTTTTTCGAGACAGGGTTTCTCTGTAGCTTTGGAACTCACTCTGTAGACCAGGCTGGCCTCGAACTCAACAATATATTACTTTAATAATTCTAGAGTAGGGGGCTGGAGAGATGGCTCAGCGGTTAAGAGCATTGCCTGCTCTTCCAAAGGTTCTGAGTTCAATTCCCAGCAACCACATGGTGGCTCACAACCATCTGTAATGAGGTCTGGTGCCCTCTTCTGGCCTGAAGACATATACATAGACAGAATATTGTATACATAATAAATAAATATTAAAAAAATAATTCTAGAGTATTAGTGTTTGGCTCTGCCTTCTCTTAGATTAGACTTTATCATGAGTATGCATCTGTAGGAAAGAGTGGTATGTGAACTGTATGGTTTAGGGCATCCGTGGGTTTATCCTTCATCCCTGTATCTGAGACAGTGAATACATTGTAAGGGCTCCAATAGACAGCTAAAACCAAGCCCCATGCTGAGCCCTACCTGTGTTCTTTCCTATATGTGCTTGTACAAATCTGTTGTTATTTCCCGGTCTGAGTACTTATGTGTTCTAACCATAACCTTTTCAGTTGAAGTATCACAGCAGATCTAGTAGGACTTTCTTCTTCACAATTTCCTGGATAGAAGAATCATTTTTACTGTGATCTTAGCTAATTTATTTTCCTATCAAATGAGAAACTTTTTACCTTTTCTCTTCAAGACTTGTCTTGGGCATATCGGAATCCCTGCATCTCTACTCCCTCATGTTCAGACTGTTCTGTCTCGAGACTGTAGTAGCCAAAATGGCTGCTAATGAGTAGCAGTCTACTAAGTGCTGAGTGTATTCTATAGATGTGCTGAACAGAGGAACAACTCATGCTCCAGGTGGGACAGAGTGGGCCAGTTGGAAAGTTCATGATACTCAGAATGGTGTGCAATTTAAAACTTAGGAAGCATTTACTTCTGGTATTTTCCATTTAACAACTTTGGACTGTAGTTGATCATGAATCCCACAGAAAATGAAATTGGATAAAGGGAACTGGGGGAGACTGCTGCAGAAGGTTTTGTGTACGTTTGTGGTATACCCAGAATAGGAAGGTGAGTTATATAATAACTTGGCTTTTTAAGGAACAACCAGATTCTTTTCCATTCTTAGTCACAATGCGTATGTTCCATTTCCCCACATCCTAACCCGCCTTTGCACCTGTCTTTGTTTTATCTAGATGTCATAGTAGGTGTGAAGTAGTTCCATTGTGGTTTTCACTTGCAGTTGCGCCATGATTAATGATGCTGAGATTTTTTTTAAATATGCCTATTGGACATTTATATCTTTGGAGAAATGGATTTAGATCCCTTGTCTGTGTAACATTAGGTCTTTCTTTTTTACAATTTGTTGTTGTTGTTTGTTTTGTTTTTTTGAGACAGGGTTTCTCTGTATAGCTTTGGAGCATCTCCTGGAACTCGCTTTTTAGACCAGACTGGCCTCGAACTCAGAGAGATCCTCCTGCTTCTGCCTCCCAAGTACTGGGATTAAAGGCATATGCCACCACTGCCGGGCTTATAATTTATTTTTATTTTGTGTGCATTGTTATTTTGCCTGCATGTATGGATGTGCG